GAATCAGCTCAAGCATGGGTTAGAAATCTGCAAACCGTGGGGCGTTCATGCCTACTCCTGTATTAACAGCATCTATTTACAACTCTGCAGAGGAATTCTGGCTTGGCCTCAACAAGACCTATTCCATCACTAAGCAAGGAGACTACATCTTACGGATTGAGCTGCAGGACTGGAAAGATAATAAACGTTACATCGAGTATGCATTCAGTTTGGGAGGCCCCGAAACGGACTACACCCTCCAGCTTTCACGGATGTTTGGGAGCATCCCCAATGCCCTGCCGGAGCAGACAGAACTGCGGTTCTCAACTGCAGATCATGAAGCAAACACCACAAACGACTTCAACTGCCCAGAAAACTACCTAGGTATCAGTATGCTGGGTATATTAACATGGGAGTTGCTGTATGAAGGATGGTTGTGGGTAGAATGCTTTAGTGGGTAGTTACTGATACTAGCCTGGCTTTAAATACAGAAAAGAGAGGGCAGCAGCATCTTTCCATCTTGCAAAAGATGGGTTTTGTTGGCAGACAGCAGGGTCCTACAACGAGGCATCATCTTTCTGTTTTATAGATAGGTAAAACTACAGCACAGTGAGGCTGTGCAAAGGATCGCCATCAGAAACAGAACTAGCAGCAGCAGTCGAAATAAAACCCCAGGATGAGAGTCTAAGCTATGAAGTAAAAACCAGTTCCTCCACTGATGCCTGGTCTGGTGTGGCAGCCCTAGGTCGGATAGTTTAATCCCTCCTTGCAATAAAAACAGAAGACAAACTTGACTCATAACTCAATTTTTACTATAACCCAAAAGTTAAGAACGATGGTTAGATAGGGCTTGGAGCAAGCTGCTCTAGTGGAAGGTGTCCCTGCCTCTGGCAGGGGGTTGGAACTGGATGAGCTTTAAGGTCCCTTCCAACCCAAACCATTCTAGGATTCTATGAGTTTCCATTCAAAGGCAGTTTTTAGCTGTTTGTCAAATACACCCAGTATAATCACCCTCAAAAGAGCAAGAGAGATGCAAGGCTGAAGATACATCTCCTTAAAGCTAATTTGGTTAAAGGAGTCCTAATTCTTTGATTTTCTGAAGCTTTTATGCTTTGCCAGTTTATAGCAAAAAGCAAACAATTGAAAAAGCAATGAAATGATTAAACCAGAGAATACAGAATTGCCCTCTAGACATCCTCTTCATGCAACAAACATTCTGTACATCATTCTAAGCTTGAAAATTGTTATTGTCTGAAACAATGTCGAGAGCATTACTTGGCTCCAGTGACCATAAAACAGATGGCCAATGACTTCCAAAGTGCTAAACTTTCTTTCTGAGCACAGAGTTGCTGCCAGTCCTTTGCAAGCATAACTGGGCTTATGATTTAAGCTTGTGGTTAAGAACACCAGCCGATAAAAAAGAGAATTTGCTTACTTAAGGCTCTTTTGCTTACTTCAGCCTCTTGTGAAGGAAGAGATTTAACTATTTGTACCTGAGACAAATACCAGCAAACCAGAAAGTCAGGGTCACATGAAACATGGAAGTGTGAAGCTAACTTCCTCAATGTCCCAATTCAATGGTAGCATTTGTGTGTGCAGTTTTCTCTGCATCACTACTGCGACGTGAAGCAGGCAATAACAGGGAGCACAGCATTTTGTATTGGCCCTCAACTTGCAAGTGTGAGTGTGCAGAGCTACAAGAACCATTTTGTTCAGGTAGACTGGGTAATTGTCCCTTTTGCTGGAAGATTCATGTTGAAACAGGAGCTGAGCACAGTATGCCAGAGCACAACTGACACTACAATATTTTTCCTTAGGAGGCTGGTGGCACAGTGAATGTGAGGAAACCAATCTGAATGGGAAATACGTCACACCAAGGTCAAGAGGAAGACTAGACAGAAGGAAAGGCTTGTACTGGAAGCCTAAGAAAGGAAGATACTACTTGCTCAAGTCAACCAAAATAATGATACACCCAACAGATCTAAAGAGTTTTGACTTTACTCAACCCAATGTAATTTAATCCAGAACATACACGCTGAACATTACTACATCAAAGGAGTTCATGTTATGTTTAATAACAGATGCATGTCTAAATCCATACACTGTATGGTGTATTCTCCAATACATAAACCTGAGGCATTTGTGATGGTCTTACACTAGGTTTGGTGAGTATTCACATTCACTCGAACGCCAGGGTCAATGTGCTGTAGCTTTCATAGAGCTTCTACCTCCATTGGATGAAACTCTAATGCCTGGCAATCAACCACCTATTCGTGTATTAGATATTATTGCTTGGAGGAATGGGTTTTCAAGCTGCTGCGTTCGTTTCTGGGTTGTGTAGAAGGGAACAAAGTGTTTCAGGAAATGAAGGGCTGGCAAAATGCTTTGGAGGACATTTAGATATAAATTGATAGGGAAGAAAAGAAATCTTGTTTCAGAAGGTCTCTAAATTTGATGTTTGGTTCACGTTACTGTGGAATGTTTCCATAAGCAAACGAAAGATGGGCAATTCCCCATTTTAGGGTTCTGTGTATTTCCAGCCAAGTTTTCAGCAGTGTAACTCAGGCCAGTCTTCACTGAAGCACTGTACTGTGCAGCTATAGATGTGTACACACACATCGAGCAATCTTTCAGATACCACACTTTGAAGAACTACTTAACAGCCAAGCTTCAAAGCCTGCTAAAATGAGTAAAGAGATCTTTTCTTCTTGTCTGAAAGGGAATCAGAGCCATCCCTTTCCGATCTTTTAGCACACCTAACTAAGAAATAAAACGAAAGGCCATGTGAGCACACAACAAAACACTTTTCAAATAGAGAACAACTGCCTGTGGGGCAACTCCAATGGAGTCCGTGCTATCAACCAACAAACCCTGGAGGCACAACCTACGTGACAGTGTTGGACTCCTGCTCCTGGAACACATTCACATTTGTTTAACTTCAGCTGCAGAATACTGTAAAGCAGAAGGACTATTGACATGCTTGTGGATGGATGGCCATGGAACTGTTGACTGACAAAGACCCCAATTCTGCAGTTACATTGAGTCATATTGACTTGTATATCTTACCTAACTTGTATATCTTACCTAACCCTTGTATAGTATGGATTTTTTTACCTCAGTATTTGCAACTATACAGAAAATGGTTTTAAACTGTAATTTAAGAGTGAAACAACTGTGAGTAGAACGTGCCAATTACAGAAAAACTGCAAAACTACTTTTACTGCTCATGGATTTAATACAAAGAAGAGATGACAGAGTGCTGCTTATTTGTACCAGTGTGTTGTAATGTTTAATTACCTGTCAAACCTCTAACAATAAATATACATCAAAGAAATCAAAGGAAATAAATAAATAAAGCTTTTGAAAAGACATGAGATACGGAACCTGACTAAACTCTTTCTTGTAAGCTTTGCTTTTGTCCTGGGTTCAGCAGTAGCAGTCATTTTTTCTCCTTAGTAGCTGGTGCAGTGCTGTGGTTTTGACTTTCGGCCTGGGAACAGCACTGATAACACCGATGCTTTTAGTTACTGCTCAAATGTTTACCCTAACCAAGGACTTTGTGAGCTTCACGCTCTGCCAGGGAGGAGGGGAAGGCGGGAGGAAGCAGAGACAGGACACCTGACCCAAACTGACCAAAGAGGTATTCCATACCACAGCATATCATGCCCAGGAGGTAAATTGAGAGTTACCCGGAAGGGTTGGCTCACTGCTCAAGTCAGGCTGGGTATCGACGGGTGGTATTGCATTCTCTTCCCTTGTTATTTCCCTTATCATTATTATTATTGGTGGTAGCAGCAGTGATTTCTGTTATACCTTAGTTACTGCACTGTTCTTATCTCAACCCGTGGGAGTTACGTTCTTTTGGTTCTCCTCCCCGTCCCTCTGGGAGCAGGGTGGGGAGGAAGGGGGGAGTGAGCGAGCGGGCTGCGTGGGTCTGAGTTACTGACTGCATTTAAACCACGACAGCTTTACATAAAACTGGTTTGTATTTATCTAACTTTTACAACAAGAAGTAACAGATTTGGTGCTGCCGAAAAGTTGCCGAAATTACTCAGCTGAAGAAGACAATTCCACCCAGATTGTGTAACATCTACAAAGCTACTTTGAAAGAGCTTTAAACAAATAGTGGTACACAATGAAATCTGCTTCCTGCCTGGGCTTAGTTATAGAAAAGTTACTGTTTTCCAAGATACTTTAGAAAAATAATAAAATCATACAATCACAAAATAGTTAGGGTTGGAAAGGACCTTAAGATCATCCAGTTCCAACCCCCCTGCCATGGGCAGGGACACCTCACACTAAACCATCTCACCCAAGGCCTCGTCCAACCTGGCCTTGAACACTGCCAGGGATGGAGCATTCACAACCTCCCTGGACAACCCATTCCAGCTCCTCACCACCCTAACAGGAAAGAACTTCTTCCTTAGATCCAATCTAAACTTCCCCTGTTTAAGTTTGAACCCGTTACCCCTTGTTCTATCACTACAGTCCCTAATGAAGAGTCCCTCCCCAGCATCCTTATAAGCCCCCTTCAGATAAATTTCTTATCTTCCAGGTCTGCAGAACACTTTTTTTCAGGCATTGTAAAAAAAGAAACTGCTTTTAAGTCAAAAAGGAAATATGAACAAAGGGATTAGGTATCTTCTTCATTTCTATCCTTCTCTTTAAAGAAGTAAGTCACTGAAAGTGTCAGAAAGTATTAAAACAGTAAGAGAATGACTTTAGCACACAGCCAAGAAAAAACCTCCATAAAACTGATGAGAATTCAGCTAAATTTCACTGTGAATGTGGGGAAATGGAGAAACCTCTCCCATCTTGGTCACAGCCAAGTTTTAGGCAAATATATTTGTCCCTTCACATCTGTGCACTTTCCGCTGTGTCAATGCAGACCCTTTTTGTGCCTCTGGCACAGCAGAGCAACTGATACAGCCAGTTTTGCAACAAACCTGATGATAAGGAAGGCATTTCCACACTTGCCAGTCTCAGGCCCTGAAATGTGAAGGGTATTTCAAAATCCTGACCTGTATGTGGTGTTTGGAACGTAGACATCCCTGGCAGGGAACTCCAGGATTTCTCTTGTAGGTCTAACTCGGCTGTCTGGGTAAAGTTTGACTTGAAGCAACTCTGGAGTCAGACAGTAATGAGGATTCTCTGGAGCTGGAGAGATGTCTATCTTTAATTGAGCTGTAAGAAGAAAATGGTTTTATTACAATGAATAGAATTTAGGCCAAAAAGCATTTTCATGGCTTGTTTCTTCAGGTTAATATCCTATATATTATTTTCATAAATAAATAAAATTATACATTACAGCCAATGTGGATTTGTTAAAAACACAGTGAAAAATTATATGTTTAAAGCATTAAAAATAAATGTGAACCAAACTGGTATCTAGGGCAACTGGTATATCAGATAATGAGAACCAATGAAGAGATGGATCTTAACAACTCCCAATTGTTCTCATAGGCAAGTTGGGTCTAGATAATGCTACTGTGAGGCCCAACTATTGTTAAAAACAATAGAATCACAGAATAGTTTGGGATGGAAAGGACCTTAAGATCATCCAGTTCCAACCCCCCTGCCATGGGCAGGGATGCCTCACACTAGCCCATGCTGCCCAAGGCTCTGTCCAAACTGGTCTTGAACATTGCCAGGGATGGAGCATTTACCACTTGTCTTGGCACCCTGTGCCAGTGCCTCAGCACCCTCACAGTAAAGAACCTCTTCCTTAGATCTAACCTGAACTTCCCCTGCTTTAGTTTGAACCCATCACCCCTTGTCTCATCAGCAGTATTGCCTATCAAACTGCAGGGATACATCAGAAGTTGCTGAAAGCTGATCTGCACTGAGACTGCTGAGTGTTTTCCTTGGCCAGTCAGGTGCCAGCACTGACACCACATTTATTGTTGGTGGATGGCACTGAGGCTGGAATCATTGTAAAAAACCGGAAGCCAGGACAGTAAGAGAAGTGGCATCAGATGACTAAGGTGAAACACAAAGAAGAGCAAAGGATTTGCACTGAGAAGGAGAAGACAAACACATAATTGGCATGCATCAGCTCTGTAGAAAAGGGCTGGGTGAGAGAAGTGACAATAAGCCAACGTCCAGAAGAAAGCTACAACCATTCTAAGAGGTATTAGTGCAGTGTCATGGGTAAAACATTGCAAATTTGTCTGCTTCAGAGGAGTAACGTGGCCGGTTTAGAGCTTGAAGAAAGCATGGACAGATTAGAGAAAGTCTACCAGAGGGTAACAGGCTATTTTAAAATCACAGCCTTTGGGGAAGGGGAGAAAAACCCCTGAGATAGGTTAGGCTACAAAACAGAGGTGGATAAGAGTGAACTAATAACAGTATTCAAGCCCTTGAAAGGCTGAGATAACTGCCCTGAGGGCATGCCAGACCATCATCAGATTAATTTGCAGCAAGGTAATTTTGCAAAGTTTTCTTAATACCTAACCTCACTCCAAGGACAGCTGAGTGCTGGAAGAGATGAACTGAGGAAGAGGTAGGATTGCTGTCGCTGGAGACTTTTAAGAACAGGTTAAGTAAATATTGTCAGAAATAGCACGGGCCAGGGGCCTGTTTCACTGCTGGTGTGCCAGCATTTCTATTTCCCTTTCTCAAACAGAGGTGGAGTCTGCTCCTATTAACCAAGTGGGAGCCAGGAAAGACATCTCTCAGCTAACGAGTGGCATTTTACTCAGTGGTATTTTACAAAGGCTCCTCAGCCCCTGATGGGTTTAGGGCTTTGGGGCTTGCATCCTCACCTCACAGATACTACTCTTAGCGTGACAGGAGTTGCGTGTGCACACAGACCAGTGACATACCTGCCAAAATGCCACCTTCAGTGCTCGTGGTCTACCAGGGATTGCTGTCAATGACTATGCAGGGTTTTTTTTCACCTGCTGATTTATAAGAACTGGGTGGCTACAGGGAAGGACTAACCAAATGCATGTGAGCCAGAAAGATCTCATTCGATACCTGTGATAGGTCTCAGTCTCCGCAGCACTGACGATGGCCGCTTCATGTCAACAAGGAACTTGTACAGATCATCATCACTAAGGCGATCACCCTCCTGTGGGATGTTAGCAAGAAAAGTTATCTACACAACACTTCAGGATTGTGAGAGAATGAACAGACCATCTAATACTGTAGTATTCCCCCGATACCAAAATGTACCTTCCCAGAACAAGGTGTTAACATTAACATGCTAAATTACAGTTCATTTCTCCATCCTTTTCCCTTCCTTTTTTCTTTATTAATCATCATGACAGCTGCAGGAACTTCTAATTGAAAACCTTTTCTCTCCCCATCAATATTATCTTTTCCCAAACTGAAAATGGCTGTTAGAAGACTCCCCCCAAATACCCACTTTTTAGCAAGGATAATAGTTTGAAAAACTATCCGTCATTCAAGTAGTGATCCTTGCTCCTTCTCTGCCTTTTCTTGGGTATGAGTCTAAAAGAGCCTCACTTCACAGAAGTGTTAAGAAATGGTGGGAAGCAGGAGGAGTCTGTTGTCAGCTTTCCTTGTGCCACGTGGTGGTAGCTCAGAACTTTGTTAATTATAGAAAATGTACCTCTGCCACCCTATAAGTACCCAAAAAGCAGGAGATATCTGATCACAATGGTAGTAAGTCACAATATGACAAAAAAGAAGCAAATGGAAGGAGGAAAACGCTCGGTACTCAATGGAAGAAAACAAAGGGAAGATAAAAAAGAAAAGAAGAATCAAGCTTAAAATCCTCAATCAACATTAGGCAATTTTTAAAGGACAATTTAATAAAAGAAGCTGTTTGAAAGCTGTCAAGTGAAAGCAACCTCAACAAAGGAAATAAATAAAGGCTTTTGTAAATCATTATTATCTTAGTGACCAGGTTTAAACTGCTGTGTATTACTTCCAACTTCCTACATGTTGGGTGCCTACGTTTCAGAACTGGATTTTATCAGCACCCCAAGTGAAAGGATGTGCGGCTGTCACTGAGACCCCAGAAGTACCATTCACAGCGCTCAATTCCAGTCATACTGAGTTTCAGGATAGCACAGAGCACCAGAGGCATAAGCAGCCCTCCACTTCCCTGGTTTGCACCAGTATAACTCAATGCCCTTGGTGACATTTCTCCTTGTTTACACTACTTATTTAAGAGCAGACTTTGGATGGGTACCCACAGTGAAAGTGGCACAGAACCAAAACAATCAGAAAGGGAAAAAGAGAGTTCAACCAACTTTCAATATATGGAACCTAAATCTTTGTATTCCCAATGATTGAGAAACCAGTCCAAAAAGTAGCTGGTTATACAATAGTAAATCCCTTTTTAAACACAATGTCACAAAGGTGATATTGAAGTAACGATTTTCCTTAACCAGATGTGGCATTAAGCAAATCTTAGCAAAAAATCAATGGACTGAAACCATTTTCTAAGCTTAACTAAAAATTTTATTATGTTTAATGGTGGTTTTTAATGCTTCTCAGGAAAATCCCAAGCTCTGGCTAAGAGCTGCCACTCAGCAAAGCAGCATCAAAGTGACATGCTTTGCTTTCTCAGGTATCCCTGGATGCGGCCAACCTGATGCCAACCTCAAACCACATTGATGAACCTGGTTCTGATGAAACTGCTGATGTTTCAATGGTCTGTCTATCACCCAATGAAACCAAAGGAGTCCAATGACCATCATGATGAAGGCTATGCAACTCCTGGACTAGGAGAAATACCTGGAATACTTTTTGGCACGTACTAACCCAAAGATGTTATCCTCAGGTTTGTGAACTTTCTTCTATAAGCACTTTTCCAAACAGCATTTAACAAAAGGCCAGGCAGGGATTTTTCCATGTTAGAAAAAACCTGGAGCAAAATAAACCAGTGTTCTCCTGGAGAGACCCAGTTCTCTTAGTTGGAGTCACTATGCCGTAACTGTTTTATCATTCAAGGCAAAACTAGCTAATAATTCCAATTCCATATAGCAATTATCCATAGTAACCTTAATGAAAGAATCCACCAATGGACTCTGGACCCCCAGAATTAACCACCTGATATAACAAACCCACCGCATGCTGCTCAAAGACATATTGTGATCAGGGAATAGACTGAAAACATCACAATCACTCAGGTCTAAACTGACTTCACACGATCAAATCACTCTGTCCAAGGAGCAACTCCTTAATTAAACAGCTTCATACAATACCTGTTTAAAGAAGTTTGTCACTGTCAGAGTAGCTGGTCTAAAACTGCTCAGATTGCAAGCCTCGTCCCCACTCGTGGTTCTCTCTAACGAACGCCTCCCAACAATACTGGAATTCCTCCTCTCTGACCACGATCCTTTACGTTCTTCAAGAAATAAAAGCAAAAAGGGAGAGGAATTACAAAAAAGAAAGAAGAAAACCGATAGCCCAAGAGTCTACTTTTGTTCCAACCAGGATTTTCTACACAGGAAAATAGGTGCTGCATTCAGAAATTATGCAATAACCGTGATAGAAGAGGTGGTTATGCTAAGACAATCACACTCCTGAGGCATCAGGAGGCTATGAAGCACAGCTGACTACTTCTGCTCCTCTCACAGCAACCTCACCCCAGTGCCTTACTCCTATTATAAAAGTCTTTATCGTGTGGAGATTTATGTGTTTCTCTTGCTCTGAAAGATGATGAAGTTGGCAGTTTTGGGGATGCTGAAGAGCAGTTTCAGATGAGCTATGTGGTTCACAAAGATTAATCCACTCCTTTGGAAAATGTTCATCAGCCTGTAACGCTCTCTCAGTCTTAGAAGCCTGGTTTTAAATAATATAACAGATGGTTTGCTTGTAAAATCCTTGAAAGATAAACCCATTTGTTATCATGGACTTTTTTATTTCAACCATGACCCAAGACTATCAGAAGGCTCAGGGCAGGGGGAGGAAAGCGCTCAAGGAGCGATGGCAGCTACAGGGTATGAATCAAGGCTTCAGTAAACTCTGGATTTGTCCACATTCCCTCATGCAGATGTACTGTACCTCCTGTGCCAACTTCAACTTCCGTGGAGTCTCTTTCCAAGCTTCCAGCGCTGCTCACAATGTTCATTAAATGAATGGCTGTCCAGGCAAACGGCATCCGATACTTGCCTAGTCTTTGGCAAAACTGTTCTGCCTGGCATTTCAGTTTTTCCAACTTCTCCTTATTCTGTGAAGAGAATATTTAATCCAAGAGATTAAAAGGAGAGGAATAGGAGCAACGGTTCATACAGTGATTTTGTGTTTCAATAGAACCTTCTCGAGGAGGATCACTAAGTGCTGCGCAAATGGACCTGTGCTTCGCAGAACTGCCATCAGGCCAACAGTACCAGATGTGGGACAGCTGGATAGCCCTAAAGCAGCTGGCTTCATGCTCCTCCTGAACGGCCTGTCAAATCCCAATGAGCTCATCTGCCCACTGCCCTTTCACAGAAAGCAGAATTTAACCCTATGAAGTCTGAAATGGCCTTTCTTAATGCGATTTTAAGCCAGACACAGGGTTGGGTGAAAACAAAGAGACTCTGCTACTCACATCCTTCTAGTTCAGGATATGCTTGTGCACTTTGCTTGGAAGGAGATCTTGACAAATCACCTTTGCACCCACATTCCCAAGCACCCTGAAACTCCTATTCCAAAATTTCACTTAGGCACACGTCAACTTAGTGATCACAGGAAATGTAGGGCTTTTACTTATGTTGCTTATATACCTGAGGTGAAAAACGTTCGTTTTTCATATTGTGGTGGAGTGATACAAGGACAGAGACAGACCCAAAAATGTGAACTTCTTCAGCTAAAACATATACTAGAACTTTAGGAAGGCAAAACTTTGTTAGAATTTGACTGAAACTAACAAATGAACATCCCAGCTCCTTTGAAACAGCCATAATGGAAAGCCTCTGATCACAAGAAGTGCTGGCATCTCTGTTTTGCCCTTCATCCTGTCCTCACTACTACCCTTTGATCTTCACTTGGCTCAATCCAACTGTACAAGAAACTAGGAGCCATTGCTGAGATCCATAAGCACTGCCTCATACTGTATGTACTCAAGGTTTCCTTTACAAGCTTACCTGCACCTTACAAACTGGAGTTGTAAAACAATATACTGAGCTCAAGTTAGAGATCTCTCCTTCTGACTGCTAGTAAAAGCAGAGATTTGCTATACTATAACCACTGCTGTAATGCAGAAAGCACTTCAGGAAAACAAATAGGAGGTGAAAAGAGCACAGCAAGTCCATAGTCCAGGTGCCACTGAATTCTGCAGGTGCTACCAGCATTCCTGAACCTACCAACTACAATTCCCACCCAGACTCCAATGTACTACCAATGAGCAACCTGCTGCCAACTGTAGGGAATAAGACTCCTCCCTGTGAGGAAACCTCTGCTTTTAGTTCTACAAGCAGACAGGCTGCATTTAAACATGTGAAGGAAAGGCAAAGAACCAGTCCAATTGGGCAGGTCCAGCCCATCTGCTGCACTTGGGAATGCCCAGGACTTTACTGCACAGGACAATGCCCAAACTGTTGAAGGCACGGATTAAAGAATGTTAATGAGAAACAAACCACTAAATTTATACAAATATAAATTACTGTTACTATATGTAAAAAGAACTGCTGTTGAGTGTGGCCCTTCTTATAAATATTATTGCAAATATTCAAAGAAAAAGAAAAATCAGCAGAAAAAAAGAACCAGAAATGCCTTGCAATTCAAAACCAGGCCTGATGGATAATCTCCTGTTAACATATTTCATCCACTTTATGACCCTTCTAGAAGGCAGAGGTACTGTGATGGGGTTAAGGCACAGAAGCAATGGAAAAGTTGAGATTTTACTGCAAATCCACATCAAAGGTTGCTCCACTTGACCCCAGCTATAAGCAGGCAGCTGATCCTTCGGGACAGGGAATCACAGATGACTGAGCTTGATGGTACCCACACATCTCCTCTGTCGACTACAAAACCTGATGACCTTTAACTAGTCTACCCCAGTTAGGCATCAAGATTCAAGGGTCTTTGACTCTTTTTTGGCTTTTAGAATTTGACTAGATTCTTAATTAAAGGTGGACTCTTTTAATGCTAGGAACAGTATGAATGGCTGCTACAGTCCAATATGGAAGAAAATGCTGTAAGTTTAACTTCTTAATAACAAAATGCCTTAAAGCACTTTTTAGCAAACTGAACCAAAAAAGAAATAAATAAGATTCTTACCTTTGCTGCATCAGATTCTTTAAAAATCATATAAGGCTCTGCACACTCCCCAATATCTCCCTGCTGTAACACTTTCTCCAGCTGAGAAGGGAAAATGAACCATTACAAGGACATGGATCCAGCAAGGATTGTTAAATTAAACAAACACTAGGAAGCAAAAAACAGTCTTTCTAAAGAGTTAAAGCTTGATTTCCCTTTGTGAGGCAGGGAACAAGCACTGCGCTCGTGTTGTTAGAACCATTAAGCTCCCAGATCTCCAGCTATAACTGAATCACAAGCGTAAAATATAGGTTCAAAGGGAACATATACCACTCCACTCTGGTTTGATCTGTTCAAGGGCCACTTTCAGCTCATGTTTGAGGTCTTAAAGACAGCTTACACTAACTAGCTGCCTTTAGCATCGTCTGCTCTTATTTCTGGTCTCTGCATTAAGGGCCTACTGCAGCAGCACAAACAGGGGACTCGGATGCACTCAGCTAAAACAAGCACTATTTTAAATAGTATATTATTTTTTATAATTATTTATTATTTTTAATTATTTTATTTATTTAAATAAATATATTTTTACAAATTTAGAAAATAATTACTTATTTAATTTTATTAGTATTTTATTTTTATCTTATTTAAATATTATATTATATATTATATTAAATAAAAAAATCAGTGTGCTTTCAAATCAAATGATGAAATAATCGAATAATTGAAGTCAGCCAAGGTGCAGATGTTTGCTTCTGAACTAATACAAAACTGCTTAACAGTTTCTGGCAGAAATACCTTCCCTATCACATCCCTAAGCCTGTTTCTTTCAGAAGCATCCTGGCCCTCCCTCCCACACCCACTGCTCTGCACATGCTGTTACTAGATTAGAACATCTTTAAGGTTCTCCCATGCTTATAAAGCACCATTCATATTCTCTATTAGTAGAACTCCAAGAGGCTCCCACAATATAAGGAACTTTTCACCAACTCACCTGGTGAGTTTATGCTGCCTGAAAAGTGGTTTCCCCATGAGTAAGATCCATGCAAAACTTCACCTGATAAGGCACATGATGCATCTTATTTATCCCTGACTAGATCCTTTTCATCATCAAATCAAAAAATCCCCTATGCCACCAGCTCCTCTTGGGTTTTACAAGCACGAACGTGCAGTCACAAGCTCTTTCAGCCACATCCCCATCTCATAAACATGGGGCTCTCTCTTCCTCGTATCTTGCAAAACTCAGAAGAGTGAATGTGTGTGCACAGGTAGAACGTGATTTTTAGAGGGAGTTCAGAGTCATACCACAGATTGGAGATCAGAATATACTCCAGCCACTGAAAGTCTTACTCTCCCTTGGGACTGTTTTGTCATGCCACAAAGCCTCAATTCATTACCAAAAGCTTATTCCTCATTTAAGAAGCAGTTCATGAAGGACTTGCACAAACCTCAGTCCCCAGGGCTCTCAAAACACAGCACTTAGGTAGCAGGCAATGTAACCACTGCCTGTGAACTGAAAGCACGCATTGAACTCCCTTTCTTTACAACAGGATGATTTTTTATGCAGAGACCAGACAAAAAGCCCTGATTCAAATGCCAATCTGAGCTGGTAACATTTGTGTTCTCATTAAATCAAATGAAAGAAGAGAAAATAACTTTTATCTTTGTATACTTTCATACAGGACCGACCAATGTGGCGTTTTACTTCAGTTATGGTTCTCACCCTCTTAGCAATTTCACTCCTTAAAGACCTCTGAAAATCTGGCTTAAGAGCAAAGATCACTTTAGAAATGAGATTCAATATGTATTTTTAAATCACTAACTTATCTATCACCTTAAGGAGTCAGCACATTGTTTCGTATGAAAACCAAGGTCAAGCCCCAGAAAGCTTCTCTGTATCAAGCAAACCTTTGTGTTCTTCTTAGCTCTTCAATAACACAACAATGCCTATCTCCACTGAACTGTTTCAAAGGAACTTAAGGTACCAAGGGAGAATATCTGAAATGAAACAGAATCCTGCTCTCCAAATGTAAATCAGAAGTAAACTTGTCAGCCAATGTTAAATGGAAACAGAGACAACGAGAGTTCTCATTTCTCTGGTATTTCTTACCTTTATTACTAGAAAGACATCTTGAGAGGGGTAAGTGATAGAAAAGATGGCAGATCTGGCCAGCGTGGATATAGCAGCAGGGGGAACATGTGGACGGAGCATTCCCTTCATTTGCTCAGAGTTTAAATCAAAGTAGAAGTTTTCTGAAATCTAAGGAAGAAGTTGGGTAGTTTCAAGTTATACTTTTTAGTTTTAGTGAACTCTTCACGAACAAAGCAGACAATTTCAAAACCCAAGGTTAAGAAACTACCAACGGTGCCTCCTTTCAAACCATAATAGGGGGGAAAAATGCCTTTCCATTAAGAAATCAAGGCAGGACAGAAAGGAGAAAGGAAACGGAGCTAACAATACACACTGCCTATAACGTTTCCTCCAACTCATGTAAGGTGTGTAGTTCCATCACAGGGCTAGGAATTACAATTGCTATCTGAACTGAATATCTCAAAGTATCAAAATAGAAAATCATCTTTCAGATCATTCACAGAAAGAACAACACATCCGGCAAGATGAACAATGAGCTTTCCACGTTGAAACACCAAATCCCTGACTGTACCAAGGCTTCAGAGCCAAAGGGAATGTGAGCTGGTGTTATCAACACCAGAGGTCACTAAAGAACTTACTACAGTAGATGGGGCGGGGGGGGGGGGGAATGGGAGTAATGAGATGATAAAACTGGCTTATCAAATGTGATTTAAATATTAAACAAAGTTCACATAATATTCCACATACTCTCATCTACATAACTTAAAACTCAATGCATTAAATTCAAGTCTTAAAGAGATAAATGTCAAAATGCATATTTTTAACATTTTTTCTCTCTACTGCTGCTAATAGCTTGAATTAGGAAAACTAAGAGACTCTTCAAATATTAAATACAGAACATAAATAGGCGAATAAATGTATTTTGCCTTTCCTATAACTTAGATCTTGAACAGACCCCTCAGTTTTGTTTTGATTTTAGCAATTTTAGTGCGTACAGCTTCCTTGTGCATTATTACAATGGCATTTGGACATATACCATGCTGAATCACGAAGAAGGCATTAAGGAAGTCACAAAGATTTAATCCAAATAAAAGGTTTCAGTTACTGAAGTTCTCTCTGGGGAAAAGACCTTTGAAAGCCAAGATTGGACAATGTCTATATTCTGATCTCAGGCACCCAGAAATATCGTTAGAAATACTCTGATTTCTAAAAATATTACTTCATATTTTTAGAAAAGTGGTTATACTTCATCTGTTTTACTAAGCAGAAGAACACAGAAGGTGGCTCATGAAATGGCCTCATCATTCTTCCAACCACTGGCATGCCGCTGCCTTCATAAAGGTTTGTTTCCAGAATTAATTCCTCCCTTTTTTCTTTATAGCTAACAGCTTTGCAACGCTTCAGTGGAAATGTGTTTAGAAAGTAATTAAAAACCTACCTTTTTCTTTTCTTTAACGTCGTACAAAGCCAAACTTGCAAAAATGGGCTCGATTTCTATTTCAAATCTTGAAAGAAAGAAAGAAACAGATAAAACCAGTTGACTTGCATTTTGTAAGAAGGAATAACCCACTCTCTCCCCAAATCCTTCCTAAGTGATGGCTGACCACTGTTAAACCAAGATGTCAGCAACAGCTGAGCCAACCTAAGGGCTTGCTCCTGCTGAAAGGGGAAAATTGCTCCTGTTTCCCCCCCCCATTCCTCTCCTGTCCTGCTACGTCTACATTGCCTCTGCTCTCTTCCACTACGACATGCATTGATGCTCCGTGGACCTCCTAAAAGCCATTTCAGCTCATTGACCCAACAGAAAGGTTAGGATGAGGGTCACAGGCCATAAAGCCTACTTCTATAAATGCTTTTACCTTCTTCAAGTGTTGTCTGAAAGCTAAGTAAAGCAACATAATAGCTTCCTTAAAGGAAGAGGCATTATTATTTGGATACCTGGACCACTTAGCTCCTCTGATTACCTTGAAAAGATGCCCTCTATGCTAATTTCCTATGGTGACCTGTCGACAGGGCTAAATGGCCAACTGCTCCCCTCAGCAATATTGATCAGAAAGCTCCTTCCTCTCGAGTCAGGGACAGCTATTTTGGCAATGTTCAACATTTAACTCGTCAGAAAACCCCAATACCTCAAAGCCTCTTTCAGAAAGATGTCAGTTTGTCAGAGTAACTATTATCAAGTATTTCTGCTGAGAGAATCACTTCCAATGAAACCATTAACCTATCAAATGGAGCTAAAGTTATTGTCAGTCAATTGGGAAGCTAAAGAAATCGGAAAAACATTCAAAACCTGTCCCTATATCCAAGGGAGCAGGGGCTGAAATGCCCTTATCCTGCCTGCACAGCCTCCCCATGACATTAATGCCTAACCCACAGTGAGATACTCCCATGCACAAAGTTCTTGCAGAGAGCTCTCAGCTTCTTCTCAGCCTGGAACTCCTTCTTCCAATAGGAAGAACAGACAGGACTGCATCACCTAACAGGTAATTTCTCTAGTTTGGCAACAAAGGTGAGATTAACCTGAAAATGACCCTGCTTAGGTCATCTTAGCCTTCTCCCTGGGGAAGAGACCATCTATTTCTCTTTGTGCCACTAAGACAGTGTGATCTTGGATGCTTGCTACTGCAACTGTAGGTACAGTTTCAGAGATTACTATGGTACACAAACAAGCATGTTTGTGAAGATCTGCTACAAATTCACAATCACCAAGAGAAGCTTAAATAGCAGAAATCATTAATTCCCACCATCTAACGTATTTATGCTAAAGACAACATCCTTTGGAGAGCAAGTTCCATAGCTACTGCATATTATGTTGTTCCAGTTCATAAAAGGCTGCAAAATCAGTTCATCTCTACGGCTATATTAGGTCCTGGAGTACTCTACAAGCAGGAGATATGTCCCACACATATATCTCAGTTATGAGCTGCAATGTAGTCTAACTGGAGCTCTCTAATAAGAAGGGTTGACCTAACTGAGGACACAGAAGATGAATACAGCAGTGTGGAAAATCAGTTTTGTACTTTATTTCTCCAAGGGAATAACAGTAAAATTTTACCTTGTGTTATTAGAGAAGAGTTATAGGCAATGAACCAGCTGCAGGTAACCCTATATTCAGGAGCTCCACTTCATTAAACTTGTTTAACAGGTTTCTATTCCTTCAGTTAATGCTTGCTAAGTATATAAAGTCCTCACTCTTAAAGGGACACAGTCAAGGTTGTTGAGCCTAAACTTCAGCAAATCTTTGGCTGTCTCATGTTTTAAGGCTTAAGCATTTTTCACCTTTTTTATTTGCTGCCCCTCTTCAGCATCCTTGTTACAGAGCTGAACACCGACGACTGGCCAACTTCAGAGCCCTGAATGAGGGCAGTGAAGCATGAGTGCTAGCAACATGGGCAAGTTTAGCTAAGACTGTCTGGAAACCAACTCAGAGGTATTTTCTATGTCACACCAATATGAAGAAAGTCTGGAAGATGAAACTGTCTGATGCAGTGCTGTGTAAATTACTCTTTACAGAACTAACCTTTAAGCCTATTGCCAAACCAATGCTACATCCCTTCAAGAGTAATAAACAAGGCAGCAGGGTTATTCCAGATGCACATGGATACAACAGCAGGCTTCAAATTCTCAGGTATCTGTTGAAGTGACACTTACTTAAGGGACAAACACTTCACCAGGAGTCTTTGGCCAAAGTGCTCTTTGGGTACTTCAGGGACACTAAGCCGTTCTATAGGCTCCTCCTGAAATTAGAGACATGACACTTGTACAAACCACTAACACCATTAGGAAGCAAACATATGCATCACTTTTTTCTTCTAAGACACCAGCACCAATTCAATCCAAGGCTTACCAGCATGCTGCATTTAGCAGCAGCTATAAATATGCTAAATTAAATCCCTTTAATGTTTCTACATTACAGAGGATTGCATAAGCATAAAGGAAAACCAATCTTCTGGAAGTACTATCTATGGCAAGACAACATGCTAAAGAACATGCAACCCACAAAACAGCTAAGGCTCTCATGGATGTTAAACACAGGTGATCTTAACTCCTTTAAATCCATAGCAGACTGACAATTTTCGCATTCTTTACATCCTTAACTTTTTTAGCCTCACCCACATGTATACAAAAATACCTCATCTGGTGCTGGATGTAGTGCAAAAAGCTCCTTATGCCTACTGGACTTCCTTTGATCTTCATTGTGGTGGTCTATCTCCTCATTTGGGGTTCGGTCCAGTAGGTTTGGAAGAAGGGCATCTGGAAGGGAGTTCTTCAGGTCAAAAATGCTGCATGCCCAGCTGCCCCGGGGAGTATCGTCAATGGACATTGAGCGGCGTTTAAGGTCATCCTGAGATTCAACAAATTAAAAGCAACTTATAATGGGAAAGGGACTGCACTTTTAAAACGTGACTATAAATCAGGTTTTATGCAGGAAGGTTTTAAAGGTACATTACTTGTTCATCCTGGTAACTGTTGCCATCTGGAGCTTCGTCAGACTCGAAGATCTGTTTGGGGAGCCCCTTTTGCCTCTCCTTCTGTTTGTCTAAGGTGTTGGGATTAAATCCAGTTCCCAGCTTGTGATATCTGAAAACAGAGCATTTCAAATACACCCTTAATGTCCTTTTTGACCCCAAACCCAGAAGCAGCATTACAGAACAAGCCCCACATTACCAAAGTGGGTCCTCTCAAAGCATAAGCTGCCCTCTGCAAACAGTATTTCCAGTCACCCTCCACTGTAGCTGGGTAATAATCCAACAACAGTATTCCAGTCCTACAATGTGACTCTGTTCAACCCCACAGCAACCCTGTGTGATGTCAAAAGAAGTATTTTCAGTGGCCAGTTAAGGCCATCATAAAATGTGTGATTGTGATGCCAAGCTTAAAACAGGCCAAGAACATGAGGACTGAAGGCCAGGAGTTCTGCTGGACCAAGAACTGAACTGGAGCAGACACTATTAGGAACCTGAAAACCAAAGCACCACCTTCAGGTAAGACTGCATGAAGTGCAGAAGTCCTAAGCACCTCTGGAACACATATGACTTCCCAACCCCAACTAAAAGCAGCATGTTCCCATACTACCTTTATAGGCAGAATTGAGTCCTTTCAGAGCATTCCAGGGTGTTACAGCTAGTAAACAGTCTGTCTACTATTGCTGACAAGATCAGATCTCTTTGACTAACAAATCTTTTCATCATACCAAATGGCACTATGTGTATATTCACACACACAATTTTTGGATACCAAATGCCACTGTATATATATATATATATATATATATATATATATTCACACACATATGGCCAGAGCCACAGCCTTCTTACAATGTGCACTCTAAGTCAGTTCCTGAAGGAGTGCTGGAGTCACAGCTAGAATTAATTGTTCTTATCATGCCCTGTTACTAAAGTTACCAGAGAAGGATGCACTGATACATGAAAACTCTGCTAGCAGTGAATAAAGGGGGGAGAAAAAGGAGGAGAGTATCTTTCTCTCAAGGTTATCATTCCTGAGAGCTGAACAATACAATCTGTATAACCCTCACTGGGATGTCTGCATTTCACTCACAGCTCCACCACCAAGTGTAAATTCATTCTGAATCAGAGCTGACTTCAGAGGTGCTTGTGATCATTGCTGCCATCAGACTAGCATACAGAAATTATGCCATAAGGTTGAAACAAGAATATGCTACTGTTTTTTTCATGCCAGTGAATAAAACTTCTTTACCTTTTCCAATACCACTACAGTAATCACAGAATAGATGGATTTGCCTGTCCCCAAAAATGTTTTGGTTACAAAGAACTGTAGACAGAGATTGACATAAGGATTATTACCTGTGGGGTGGGGGCAGAGATGGATGGCACATTGGAAGGTATGTTCTTCTAACGCTAAAAGAGATGGATTTTGTGCTCCCAGAGCTAGCCACAGCACTCATAACCATTCAATAAAATGGATTAAGAGAAACCCATCAGCATCCTTACCTGAAAAACTATTTAATCCTCCCCAGCCAGGCCTTCAGGTTCTTCCTCTGCTCCAGCAGTACCCCTTCTGTTTCTACCCACTCTAGCACCATGATTTTATCCATGTTAAAACTGCTATAAACACTTATAGAAGTGCCTGTCCTCCTCAAAAGGGGCAAGACAACCTCTGACTGTAGTTCAACAATCTCCCATCACACCTTCAACCCACTCAAGCGACTTTGATGTCTTTAGCTTCCTGCCTTCCCTGACAGAGAACACAACCTGCAGCTGATCTACACAGGACAAAAAGCTCTGCTGCCACTAACTAGAACTTCCTCAGGGCAGGAATCACAGCCAGGTATTCCAGGTACCAGTGACAGTCACTGAGAAACCAAGAGGTGTGCTGGCTGGCTGGGTCACGTTGTCTAAGCCTACCGTGCATTCCAGACTCTGCCCACAAAGGCAGGGAGTTAATAAAGCATCTGTCTCTCTCCTGGCTTTCTTTCTGGGTGAGGGTTTTCTTCTGGTACGAGATTACAAACCACATTTTTATTAGGTCATCTCAGCACTGCAAAGCACATCTGCAGCATCCCCTGAAGTGGTTCTCGGGACAACATTAAACCAGTGAATTGTAGCAACTGCCACAAGGGCAGAGCTGTAGCTGTAGTCAAGTCATTTGTAGGTGATGCACATCACATGGATCACTTACTCCTTGACAGCAGCTCTTGAAACCATCAGACTTTCAATCATCAGAGAGTTCCAAGTAAAGCTACTCAGACACCTTCCTGCTAATCTGCATGATTTAATCAATGCATGCATATTCTCTAGCCTGGTAACTCATTAGGTAAATGCTGCCATAGTTCAAATATTAACAGTTATTTGTTTAAATTACATACTTTCTCAAAGTCTCTTTGGGACAAATGAAAGCTGCAGAGGGCACCTTATCTATTAGGTGGTTGTGGCTGCACATAAATCTTACATTGTTACAAAATGACTGCAACTCCTCTCTAAAAAAGAGCTAAAAACACAGGGAACAAAGAAAGAAACAAATGCTCAAAGCAATTTTACTTGGTCCCATTCCCTAATTCCCCTCCCATTCTAAAGGAGCAACTGTTGACTACAACGACCTAGATTTGCAGAAATGCCCCAAGGGATTTCGATGTCTAAGATCTAATTTTCCAAACACAAAGCTTCAGTTCAGCTAAACACAAGGCATCAGTTCAGCTGAGCTGGGCAATTAAAAGCCAGGGCACATGGACTCAGTAGCCAGGACAATAATTCATATATTAGAATAGGTTGGGTTGGAGAGGATCTTAAGATCGCCCAGCTTCAACTGCCTGCCTTTGGCAGGGACACCTCACACTAAACCAGGTCACCCAAGGCTCTGTGCAACCTGGCCTTGAGCACTGCCAGGGATGGGGCAGCCACAGCTTCTCTGGGCACCCTGTGCCAGCGCCTCAGCACCCTCACAGTAAAGCACATCTTCCTTATATCTAACCTGAGCATCCCCATAGCAGCCAGCCAACCTGCAAAGCTTTAAATACGAAATGAAGCTGACAAACACCACGGGGGAACTCACTTTCTGTTCACAATCGCCCAATCTTCCGTGTAACTCCTTACACAGTCCCTCACGTGGGGGTCCATCTCACTGTTAAAAGAACAAAAACATCTTCAAAATCACAGGCATGGCAAGGAATTCTTAAACATCCCCACTTCCACTTAGGTTTGTATTGGTTGTGATGCAGACAATCGATGCCCTGGAGCAAGGTGTCACCCTGTCACCTCCTACCTTACCTCTCTTCAGGCACAGCCGACACAAGGGTGCGACATTCTCGAGGGGTGTACACGACCTCAATGTCATCAGGAGGAAACTCAAGCAAGTCCCTCAGGGGTCCCGACTCCACGGCAATGGGGTGTGTGATAAGGTAGTCCTCCAACTCAACCGGGTCCACTGCTTCTGTAAGTGGTACCTGGGGAAAGACAAGTGATGGAAGGGTTCTTTAAACAAGGTTAAAGAAAGAGAGGTCACATTTTAGAATCATACAATCACAGAACAGTTAGGGTTTCAGTTTTAACCCATTACCCCTTGTCCTGTCACTACAGTCCCTAATGAAGAGTCCCTCCCCAGCATCCCTATAGGCCCCCTTCAGATACTGGAAGGCTGCTCTGAGGTCTCCACGCAGCTTCTCTTCTCCAGGCTGAACAGCCCCAACTTTCTCAGCCTACCTTGTTTTTTAAACCAGCTCCCTTGTCTTTTAAACCAGCTCTTCTGTCTTGTTGAGGAAACCTGATCTAACGTAGAATCATAGAATGGTTTGGGTTGGAAGAGACCTTAAGATCATCCAGTTCCAACCCTCCTGGTACGGGCATCAGACGATAACTAACTTTAATGGTGTTAACTTTAGCTAATACACATCACAAAGCTGTTTTTCATGTCTTATCTGATATTTCTGTGGATATGTCTATGATGCATACCACCATCACCTAATGAAAAATGCAACCTAGAAAAAGGATTTTCATCTGTTTCCCAGGAATGCACCACTCTGCATCAGAAAAACTTTGGTGCTTTATTTCCCGTGTGTATGACTTAGGATTTGTTTCTATCGTGCTCTGATCACAAAGGCAACCTTCACCCTGATCCACGATGCAAGAACCCTTTCACCCTCCAGCACCCCAGACAGGAATCCAGAGCAGGAGCTCATATACCAGGAACTCAGGAAGCCACTGAACTCTGCAAGACGAACATTAATCTGAACTAAAGCCCTTCCCTGGGGAACACAAAACACAATGTTTGCCTACCACAGGGACGAGTTTAACCACCTCTTCTCCCTGATATTAGGACCTTTCGTGTCAAAGGATGCTTAAAAATCATCTTTCCTGGGCATAAACCACCAAAGCACAAGGAATAACTGAACAAACACACGAGTGGGAAACATTTCACTGACAGTACTGATCTCTCCATGCTAAAAAACATTGAGCTTCTTTTAGGTACAGGAAAAAAGATAACTGCATAAACTGGATAGATACTCCCACTGCATAACTGTGTGTTTTTACGTATGCATATTCTATATCCTGAGATCATTATGCTATGAGGCTGCACATAAACACAGACATTAAGAAAATGAAACACTAAAAGCCAGTTTTGAGGAACCTGTCTCTACAGCAACTGACTGGTTTCCTGGAATTCCCTGGCACATCTCAGTGAGGCTGAGGGGTTTAACGTGAGTCACAAAAACACATGAAATTCCAGCTATTTTTCTCTACTACTTCCTCTTCCCTGTCATCTAGTGTCTGTGGGACACGGAACTATCCTGTACCTTGTCTTCTGCTGCTGCTGACTTCAAAAAGAACACTTAGTATTTAAGGTGTAAATGTGCTTCTCAATAGAATTGCGGTGCCAATGCCAAATTCCAGCTTTTAAACTTCCATTGCCAAAAGGTTCCGAAATGAATGAACTTTCTCCTTAAGCAAAAAGACTTGGCTAACACAGAGGGTATTGAAGGAATACTGCAACCTTCCTAAATGGTGTGCCTCCAGTGAAGTCAGGTGAACTGGAGCAGGTGACTTCATGACAGACACGGATCTGGTCCACCAAGAAATATGATGTCTGGAAACTCAGTGTTTAGTTCTGCAATTTAGGTAAAAGACACAAACTACTTTCTGTGTAAAGAAATACACCACCATCAACATCTATTTAGCCCTGGCCCCATAAGCTTTTGTCCCCTTCTAATCCTGAATGAACTAAAAGCATGTGACTTGGGGGACTTCTGAAAGCACAAATCAGACACTTTGAACTGTTCTCATCACTGCAAAGCTCCCAATGAGCAGAACGTGGCGTTGCTCTCTCCCACATTACACTTAACATGTCATCACCTCATGCTATCTGCTTCTTACACCCGAAACAGCTCCACGTGGCACTAGAGAACTGACAGAACGTCCAGCATTGAAGTGTGGCACTTTAGTACTGAGGAATTGCTAGAAGTCCATGTTTTCTCAGAAGAGCTGCTGCACAATAGACCTCATAGCAGCCTTCCAGTATCTGAAAGGGGCCTATAGGGATGCTGGGGAGGAACTCTTCATTAGGGACTGTAGTGATAGGACAAGGGGTAATGGGTTCAAACTTAAACAGGGGAAGTTCAGATTGGATATAAGGAGGAAATTCTTTCCTGTGAGGGTGGTGAGGCACTGGAATGGGTTGCCCAGGGAGGTCGTGAATGCTCCATCCCTGGCAGTGTTCAAGGCCAGGTTGGACAGAGCCTTGGGTGACCTGGTTTAGTGTGAGGTGTCCCTGCCCATGGCAGGGGGTTGGAACTCAGTGATCTTAAGGTCCTTTCCAACCCTAACTATTCTATGGTTCTATGATTCTATAATACTACTGCTACTTTCTACCCATAGACCTCAAAACCAAAGAGTAAGACCCAGAAACTGAGAATCCCTGTAAACGAAGATAAAGAAAATCACTGTGTGAAAGCTGCTGAGGCATTGGGCAGCAGAGCTGCTGGGAAACGGTCCTCCTATGGCTGGTCCAGAGCCCCAACCACAAAGCAACGCAGTGCTGCATTGGCACACAAAGCACCCTCATTGGAAGAAGGACAGAGGGTTAAGGTAGCTTCAGGGGGTGACTCAAAGCTGCTTAACTGAGCCTATTTTTAAGCCTGAACATTTTAGGACAAGCTTGAGTGAGTCCAGAGGAGGCCACAGAGATACCACAAAGATGGAGCAGCTCTGCTCTGGAGCCAGGCTGAGAGAGCTGGGCTGGGGCAGCCTGGAGAAGAGAAGGCTCCTGAAGGGGAGACCTGAGACCAGCTCCAGTGCCTAAAGGGGCTGCAGGAAAGCTGGAGAGGGGCTTGGGACAAGGGCCTGTAGGGACAGGCCAAGGGGAATGGCTTTAAGCTGCCAGAGGGGAGACTGAGATGAGCTCTTAGGCAGAAGCTCTTCCCTGTGAGGGTGCTGAGGCGCTGGCACAGGGTGCCCAGAGAAGCTGTGGCTGCCCCATCCCTGGCAGTGTTCAAGGGCAGGTTGGACACAGGGGCTTGGAGCAAGCTGCTCTAGTGGAAGCGGTCCCTGCCCGTGGCAGGGGTTGGAACTGGAGGAGCTTTAAGGTCCCTTCTAACCCAAACTATTCTGTGATCCTATGATATTTTGAATCCTCCCTTCCACACTGGCAGCTCCAAAGCTGAGACACCTTCCAGTGCTCAGCAAAACTGAGCTGCCCACACAAGTGCTGTGTTTCCATCTGCACAAACATTTACCTGTGCATCTCCCCAGGCTAACAAAAAGGAACCTGTTCCTCATTCCCTCCAATCATTGTAATCCACTCATCCTGATAAAACAGAAGAATATTACAAACAGGCAAGGAAAACACTCTGCATTAGTGCAGGGTGGAGGGGGACACGCAGGAGTGAGCAGACACAGGGCAGAGACCGGCACTGCCCCAATGGCACTGTGTTTCCCCATTCCTGGCATTTTGCATCTTACATTTCACTTGTCCAACAAGAGCACTGGAATGTGTTGGACAAAAGAGGGAATAAACTTACTCTGCTCATTAAGAAACACCTGATCCAGAAAGGGGGCCAATGCTGAGGAGCCTGGGTCCATGCTCCGAGGGCTTCCAAGCCCTCCGTACATCTCAGGATGAAGCCCAAGGTTGCATTTTGCAATCTCCCTGTTTGTCTCTTCGGGTAACTATTGTGCCATGAAGATGTAAACAAACACAAAAGTCAAACCCAGAAGCCTGTATTAGACTCACCATCTGTGCAGCCAGAAATACTGCCTAGCACCTGAGTAAACAGGCCACACATAAATCCATGGCTATGAAGAGGAACTCCTTGGTGTCAGACTATTGGCAGATAAAAGGCAAGCACATCGAAGCTTTAGATATTTGTGGGGGATGAAGTGATGAACGAGGAGGAGGAAATAAGGATGAGCAAATGCACCGAAAGGAAAATGAACCCAAATGGTGTCCCTGGGTCTGAACTGAACAAGGAGAGCTCCTCTCATGGCTCACTACTGATGGCTTAAACTTTCCTCTGCCCTGCTTTAGGCTCCTGCATCACTCTGAAGTTGTGGATGAGACCAAGAACAGACGAGAGCAGACATGGAGCTATTCCTGTGTCACCTGAAATTGCCATCAGATTGAACAGAAGGAGCTGGATGAGTTCAGATAAGGACCAGGGTACCCAACCTCACCGCTGACGGAGGAGCAAAACCTGCTCTATCTCCCACTGCCAAGTCTCCAGGCCCAGCTTAATTCCTCACTAGAAAAAATAACAAGGCACCCAACATCCAACTCCCCAGGCCGTTAGCCAAGTATTTTCCTGGCTTACAAACGTTTCAACTTTATCCTTGTCCTCCAAGACACGCAGACAGGTTTTCTTCATCAGGCTTCCAAAGGGAGAGGGACAATTTCAGTCAAGTGTTTGCAGATGTGCAGTCCGCTTACCAACTGCTAATGGGGGAATAGTGGAGAGTTACTGTAGGAGATCACTGACAAGGTGTCCATTTCTTCCAGCAACCAAAGCTGTACAGGAGCTCTGACCATCTTCCCAACCAGGACTGTGGAATTGTCTATATTAATGGCAAAACATGCAAAGGAAAGCCCGCTCCCCAAATCGTGATTGCTGCTCCTTTAAGAAATACTCTTTATTTAAGCTATAATTACAGAGCAAATTCTGGACAGCCTTTCAGACAGGTCCTTAACATGGTTTTCACTGTCTTTATCCCAAGATCAGACTCAGCCCCCTCACCCAGGACAAGTGCTATTCTGGTGCTATTAAAATTAATAGAGCTACTCAGGGTGAAAGAGGCCACTCGGTGTGAGTAAGAGGGGCATAACCTGCTCCCTGCCAATGTAAGTACCAAACACACTGTGCTGATAAACTGAGAGCACAGGAGAAATCAAACAGGACTCTCTCCTTTTCAGACTTACACATCACTTGCAAATAACAATTCTGCATATCTATGCCCTTAA